TTTATGACAATTTTATGAGAAAACTTTGGCCATATTGCACTTCTTTGTATGATCTATTTTTTTATTATTATTATTTTTCATCTTTTTCCTCTTACTTTCTCTTCTTTATAAACTAACTTTTTCCATTGCATTATGAACAACAAATGTCGGGCGCAAAGGTCCACTAAGGTTACATAATGGTTAATTAACATATGGCTTATTGGGCTGCTTGTAGCAAAATTCAGGAATTCAAAAAAGAGAAAAAAGGAAAAAAGAAGCCCAAATATTTTAGCATCACTTGAGTTCGTTTGGTACGAGAATTTAAAGTAAGGTGATTTTAATTAGGATTTTGGAACCAAAATTATGATTTATGATTTTGTGTTCAATTTATGATTTTGAAATCATGATTCAGAATCAGGGGTTTAAATCACCTTGAATCAAGAGGGGATGGTTTTAAAATCATGATTTGAGTCAGTTTAAAACATCACATCAAATTCTAAATCATGATTCAGAATCATCCAAACCAAACACTGATTCTGAATCATGATTCAGAATCACTGCCATGGTCCAGAATCATGATTCTGAATTCAACTACCAAATGCATCCTAAGTTAAAGGGAAAATTTGAACCCATATTTTAATCCTGAACTCAAATGCAAGTGTGAATAAATTTTCGTTAAAGATGGAAAAATATTCGTAGAATTTATATAGTACAAAATTTTGTTGCTCTCCATATGAGCCCCATTGTTAAGGTTTTTTTGGGATTTAGCTGGCTTCGAACGGTGGAACCCATTAACGAACAGATGGTATAAATCGAATTGAGACAGAAAAAAAAAAAAAGATAAAAAAAAGACTAAAAAAGTGGAGTTTACAATGGTGCATTTATAATTCATTAATTAGTTTCTTTAGTTTTCATATATATGTTGGTGAAAGTCTGTCCGTGAGAAATGAGAATCTCTTTTGCCTGCTTTTAAGATAGTGTTAAATGTACTTTGGTGGACTTGAATTTCAGTTTATTAATTAGTGCTGCAATATAGATCTCACTTATCTATTTTCAATACTTAATCATGTCACGTTCTCCAACAAATATGTTTAAACGACAATCCCCAAAATGCTTATCCGGCCCCCTCATTCTTTTGCTCCACAGCAATGGTTTCTTTTTTAATAAAAGAATCCTTTCAAGGAGACAATCAGAGCTATCTTTTGTGAAAAAGAAGGAAAGAAGAAAGCATCTTGTGTTTATCTCATTAATTAGTTCATTTTTGTTCTTTCTTTTGTTCTTTATTTTTTTTGTTTGCAAGTATATACATAAAGTATTTTTGGCTTTATAAATAATCCATACAAATATAGTTTATATTATGTAGCCTAATAAATACCATATAATTAGACTTTGGTCTTTAAATTTGTGGAAGTACTTGTAGGGATTAATCAAGATTTTAACTAATTAACACCAAGTTTGTTGGGTCATTTTCCTTAATAAATAAACATATGAATTATTTGTGGACGCTCATTTTGAATTTAGACGCCACCCTATCATTGGCCTCAAACTCACATGCAATATGTTATTTATGATATAAATGTGCATGGTCCATTATTCATGCTTTTAAATGCCAAGATAGAGTGTATTGCACGTGTGAAACTCACGTGCTATATGAGATTTTGGACCACAGAGCAGCTAATTACACGAGCTTTGATAATATGCACAGCCAATTAGGATTAACTTTGGGCCCATTTCACAATTATTGCACTCATTGACAAACATGAACATACATATATATCTCACATATCTCTGTAGACTCTGAACCATCAACGTTTTAAAAATAAGAAATACTAATATCATTTTTTTTTTGTCGCTCTCTTATCACTTTATATTCACTGTTTGACACGTAAATTCTACTATCTTATTTTCTATTTATATAATAATATATTATCTCAGTGGACATGTCAAATAGTAAATATAAAAAGTGATAAAGAGAGTGCTAAAAAAAGTAATTTTAACCTTTCTCTTTTAATAATATATGTATTTTCATTTTTGTTTTAATATACTTTATTTTGTTTTTGGCTAAAGAATACTTAGTTCATCCTTAATTTCTCTCAACTATATTGCAACGTTCGGATTAATTAGGATAAGGCTAGCTTATGGATGATAGATAATGCATTGGAAAACCCAGAAAACTTAGCCCAGTTTACGGTATGGACTAGGGCCTTCTCCAATCTCCATGTATTTAACTAACTCCATCTCAAGAAAAAGTAAAGGGAAACTTTTGAAAATGTCGTCAAAACCTGCTATCAATTTTAATTTTATCATTTATGCTATTAATATTATAGTAGGATATTTTTCATATTCTACCAGAATTTTTTTTGGCAGATTATTGTTTGTATTCTACCAAATACGCTTCATATTTGCTCACTGGTACTAGCCCAATTGGTAAGGGTGGAGTGGCTATTAAGGGAGAGATTCTAAACCCAATTCAGCTCATATATCCACAGTGGTATGTGCGTTCGAGGAACTTCGCTTCACCTCATTGACTTGTATTAAAAATGAATACATTTCATATTCTACTATAATTATTTTCAATGGTAAACAGGGGAAGGGATTTAAATTGAGAAAATAACAGTTATCTTTCCTTAAAGATTTCTCGTTTAATTTGAGAACATATAATTATAAGCAGCAGCCAGAGATGTATTCTAAATTTGGCGCTCTCTTTAAAACTTATTCTCCTTCTTCTGTCTAAGTTTCATTGCTGGCCTTTTCTCTTTGGTTGATGGTCTGGCGCGTCGATGAATCTCTGGCCATAAAAATCTCATCCCTAACCTCGTAGCTAGACGATCTATAAGGTGATGGGTTCCATGTAATCAGAGAAGGTGACGCTTCATCAAATCTAGTCTGTAAAGGTATTGAGTTTCTCAGTGGTTTTACATGATTTTTGAAGGGTGTTCGCCGGCCGTGGACTCTGGAAACTCATGGCAAACTTAGGGGAGTTGCTTGCTTGTGGTGTTCACACTATCTCCAACCAGATCTCTCTTGTGTAGGTTGTGGATTTATGCATATATAGTTTTTTGTATTTTGTTCTTTATTTTGCTGTAATAATGGCGATGGTTTCTCCATCTCCCAGTGTGTTCCTCCAGCTAGAGGGTGGTTTCTCCACCTCTCAATCTATGGTGTTTTCTCCCTCAGTCAGTGGTTGGCTTCCCCACTGCTGCTAGTCTGAGGTATGTGTGCATGTGTGAGATCCATTACAGGACTAGGATTCAGCTCATTTTGAGTCGATCTTCCGTGGCCAAATGTTATAGAGCCACTTTTAGGAGTTGTCCTCCCCGTTATTGGATTAGGGGTGCGTTTCTAATATCTAGTCTTGTGAGTGGTACCCGTTCTTATGACTTTGGTGCAGTCATATATTCTAGCCCTTTAGTGGCTGTATTTACCTTTAAAAAAAAAGATTTCTCATTTACATTATTATTTTATTTTTTATTTTTGTTTTTTAAATGGTTTTTATTTCCTTATTCTTAGATCTTTAATTTCTTTGGTTTCTTAGGACTTTTCTCATTTTTTTTTAACTTTTTTTGTTTATTAAAAAGAATTGTACATGTACCTTGACTAAAAAGAATTTTAGGTCTATTGTATAATACCTAGCTAATTCAAAATTTTTTACTAAAAGAAAGAAAAAAAATTACAAATTAAAACATGCAAGACTATGCAATACAGAAAACCCCAATAAAATAGGAAAAAGAAAACCAGAAATACCACTCTAAATGGTAAAAAAATATTATTTTTGTCACTCCACTTAAAAATAAATAATTTTCATTTAATTAATAAAGTAAACAAAAAGTCACTGTGATACTCTGTTATTTAGAATGACATAAATAATTAATTTGCATAAAATCATGACAAATATGTACTTTTATTAAAAAACAAACAACACAAAATTAAGTAACATAAGAGAAAATACTAAAGATTTTCTCATTTTAAAACCTTTCCTACAACAAGCTCTAAGTTTGTAAAATAACTTTTTCTTCTTCGGATTATTGTTCAATTTCTTTCTCAAAATAGTAAGATCTGTCAGTTTTTCCCCAGAACCCGCAGCAACAATAATTTCAACTCTTTCCAAGCGAGTATGCTATTATTGATTTCTTGTGCATTATCCGCTTTCAAGGCTTTGATCTTCAAATGAGTCCTCATCCATTAGATTTGTTCAAGATTGTCTATTCATTTCTTTTAGCTCATCTGGTTGATGAACTGTAACTACTTTTGAAGAATCAATACGAATAACCTCCAAACCCTAATAATATTCGAAGACACTAACCTAGTCCTAATAGGAGTAGTACTGTCGGGAACCAAGTTTTCTTCACTCAATAGATTTCTCGATTGAAGACCTAGCTAATTCAAGCTAGATAGCTTCATCGCTCAAGAAAAAAATGACTATAGCCTAATTAAACTGCTACCTTTATAGAACACAAAATTATTCATCTTTACGTTGCAAAACTGTGTGTATGTATTCCTCCAATAAAGAAAAAATGTAGGTATATGTGTAAGAAAAAAATAATATATGCAGACATATGCTTGTATGTTAATTTTGGGTTAAAGACAATAGTAGAAGCTGGCACACTATTGATTCTTTTTGGGATAACGGGAATTCCATTAATTCTGATCAAGTCAAATAATCCATCAATTAATTATGCCACCATATAATGACATAATTTATAATGACGGAAGATCATACACGTACAATATTCCTGAATTGCTATTACAAAAGGATCAATACCGTAAAGAAAATTATTTGATACATTATGGACTTCCTATTAGCGGAGTTATCTCCTAATTCTCAGTGCAGTACACAAAGTCACACACACACATATAGATATATACAAGTAGAACAATAGAATTTGTTATGTATATACACACACGCCCCTAATGATGAGGGGTTGATATTGATTCCGGTTTGTCTACGGAATTTTTCGGATTCTACAACTTGCCTAGTAAACTTTTGATTTTGACAATGTGTCCCATTTTCCCAACCCCGATTAGCGAACAGAATTAATACTGGCCAAGTTCTTTTTAGTACTATCTCGGCTCTCACAGCTTCTTTTTGCAATCTCCCTCATGTCACAAGTGAAGGAGAGCTTGGGATTGAGCCTAGTAGTAGTGTTGTACTTGTTGCAGAAATCCCTGTGACTGCTCACGGCTTCTTTCATGGCAGTTTCCGGCGATCTTTTCATCGTCTCCTTGACAGCTTCCGAGCAAAGTCCGCAGACCCATTTGCCGGAATAACTTGTCTCTATTTGTGTGATGTAGGCTTCAGAGCATTCCTCTTTCAGTCCACAACACTCGCACTCTGCTTGCTTCATGATGATCAGTTCGCTCATATTATTATTATTAATGCCTTCCAAGGATATTTCTAATTTCTTACGAAATTTGTTCATGGCTTCAACGGACATGATATCGGCTGCCACGACCTCCTTTTCAACTCTAATTTGCTGATCATTCGGCTAAACAATAGAAAATTTATGTGATTTTAGTATAACGTATATTTTGAGTTTTAGAAACTAGTCATACATCACTAGCTAATAGAATTTAGGGAATTGGAAAATAATAGTACGACTTTTGCATTGATAAATAGAGATATGTACAATTAGTACATGAGGTATTCATATTTGAATCTAATACTTATTAATCTCATAGAAAATAGTTGCATTTTAAATATTTACAGATAAATACAACTATTTAAAATTAAATCTTATCCTTATTACGTTTCTCTTGAAAAGAAATTGAATTATTTTATGAATCACTCGCTAAGTCATTACAAACAAAGCAATACTAATAAAAGCTAGCAGATTTAAGCCAGGCAAAAACATCAACAGAAATCGTAAGAGCTTGATTAGCTAACGTGTGGGCCATCTCATTGAGAAAAGTGTAACAACGAAAACGACAACGAGTTTCTAAATGATACTCATGATATCTTATCCTTATTACTAGCTGGGTAATTTTCATCACATAACGGACCATATATATTATGTCATCATGTAAAAAGTGAGAGAAGAACTCATGAGTACAAAACTAGTTAGAAATAAGAAATGAACATTACCGCCATGCATGAGATCGAGGAAAGAACTTTAAGTAGATATCTGGCATCAAGTGTTTCTTTGTAGTGAACAGTGTAGTTTGGCGTTTCGATAGAGTACAGTATTTATACAGATTTTAGCTGAAAAAGAATCACATAGAAGAATACTTTTTTGGTTTTAGTGGATGGAATCTTTCCAATTAGAGGTTGAATCAACACTGTAAAGTTTTGAGAGTTAGGTATGATTTTGTAGAAGGTTATCTTTATCCTTGTCAGCTGTCATGCCGAAAGGTCACTTTACAGCCAAAGATATCCAATAGTTTTTAAGGCCGTGAGACTCACTTTTTCATGCAACTATATTGCAAATTGCGCCACTTGATTTAGTTAGAGCTCGTGTTTGCAAGCATCTTGCCAATATGTAACGATAAAAGTTTCATGTTACATGATAAACATATATATTGTTGGAAAAGGAAATATATATTTGATTTAATTGCAACACAAATATTAATAACAAAATTAAGAAAATAATAATTTTTAAGAAAAAAAAGAAAACATATTCTACTTTGATGTAGGACTAACACAATCATTCCTTTCAAAAGTTGTAATTTGATGAGACTAATGCAATCAAATCTTTTAAACATAATACATAATTAGACTCGTGAATTCACGCCAAGTATTACTTGTTTAGGCCTTAACTTCGAGTAGTCTTTTTATACGAATCTGTGGGTGCACCTAACAGTTGGACCCAGACACTTATACGAGGGCCAAGTCACATAGACTGCCTTCTAAGTTCAAGGACATGGTCTTATATCACTCTCTTTCTAACAGAAAATGCCTCATCTAAGACACATTTTTGGGGACTTGAACTTAAGATCTCATTCTCTAATACCAATTGATATACGATTGACGCAACTATTCATCTCAAATGTTACAATTGATCAGAAAGTCGTAATCAAATCCTTTAAACAACATCAAAAACTAGACTCGGGAATCCACCCTTAGAACTAGTTGATCCTCAACTAGTTGTTACAACTTACACCTTTCGAAAGTGCAAGACGTAAATGTAGTATTAGAGTATAACATTGGTTCTGCTCAAAGAATATGGGACAGAAAAGATGGAAAATCGGACAATTTCAGAACGGCGTATTAGTGACGCTTGTCGTCGCCAAAAAAATATGTCGTCGCAAATATATTTACGATGACCTTGTGTCGTCACAAAAAAAGTTTTTGCGACGACATATCTGCGACGACATGTCGTCGCTAAAACTATTATTTGCGACGACACAGGGGTTTTTGCGACGACAAAAAGTCGTCGCAAAAACACCTTTTTCTTGTAGGATCTTTATTAACATTTTTTTGTTTTGTAATTTTTAGGACAAATTACACTTGTCCCCCTGAATTATTAGCGTTTTACCAAAATGCCCCCTAAAGTTTAAAAATAACAAATTTACTCCCTGAACAATTCACCGTTAGCACGCATTCTCTTTTTCCGCCCCCTCGGTTAAATTTTAAACATTAAGTGACACGTAAAAGTTGTTGAGGCATTTAATTTTTATTCTATTATGAAATGATGATTTTGCCTTTGAAACCCAGTATATTATTTCCCAATTTATTTTTCGTTAATCGTCTCAATTTTTTGCCTCTCAAAATCCAAATCTACAATTTAAATCTGTTGCTACGTCAAATTTTGAATCAATTCTGAATTCTAATCTCCAATTCACAAACTCATCATTCATGTCTTTCTCTAAAACCCAACATAATGGGTCTCTCAGATCTGCACAAGAAGAACAATTTTTAAATCTTGTAATTTTCAAAATCTGCATGAGCTCGTCGTTTAACAAATTCAGATAAACGAGTTTCTTGTTCAATCACACAACTAGTGCCTTTCAATTACAACTACTGAGGTCCAAATTTTCAGACCCAAACAAAGCAATAAACGAGTTTTTTCTTCAATCACATCGCGACGGAGAGGACTATCCTTGCCGGAATCGAGTGGGTCTTCGTCAAGAAGAGCTGATCAGAGCTGGACCCAAGCCGGTGGTGGGAAATCAGGACAATTAGAGGCGTGGCGGCAATCCTAGGCGCGATGAAGTGGGCGATTTCGATCAAAATGCTCAGATCTATGAGGGCCCACGTCACGAAGGATAGATTAGGGCTGGGTTTGGTCTGGAGTATGAATAGCAGCCATGAGTGATGGAGATCGTCGCTGGGTTGAGGCTGGATGTCGAGATGGAGCGTTAGAATCGTCATTTCATAATAGTATACTGGTTTTAAGGGCAAAATCGTCATTTCATAATAGAATAAAAATTAAATGCCTAAGCGACTTTCACGTGTCACTTAACATTCAAAATATAACCAAGAGAGCGAAAAAAAGGGATGCGTGCTAACGGCGAATTGTTCAGGGGGAAAATTAATTATTCAGGGGGAAATTTTGTTATTTTTAAACTTTATGGGTCATTTTGGCAAAACGCTAATAGTTTATGGGGACAAGTGTAATTTGTCCTAATTTTTAATATGTTAGTGAAAAGGCTTATTAGGCTAGCTTTACTGATTTCTGTCTTATCATTATCTTAGCGTCAGAAAAACTCAAAAGGTTGTTTTAGCTATTTAATGTGCAACATGTATAATTGTCTTAAAAGTTGAAAAAAAAAACACCAACTGGCTAGGAACCGATCAAAGAGGAAGATAAAGAAAAACTAACACGAAAATCACGGGACCTAGGAATAGATCAAATTAAACATAGCTTGGTCCCCTGCAATCTGCATTAATCTATCCAAGACACATCGATCACTGAAGATTTTTATTTTGAATCATGAAAATAAATTTCACCAAAATTTTATTTTATTTCTTTTTTTAAGAATTTGGGGACACATAATTGAAGCTTAAGGAATTGAAGAAACTAGAAAATCAAATCCATGATTTCTTCATCTAATGGTGTCTTCGCCGTTTATGGTGTTCCGAAAATACACCACTTTATTCTGCGTCATTCCAAACTCAACCACTTTCGGTTCTTTTTTTTTTCTTATTCTTCTTTTTTCAATTAGATCACATAAGTTTTCTCTGAGTTAAGGGGGAAAAAGATAAAGATGATACGTATACTGGGACAGTAAGTTAAAGAGTTCAACTTCAATATCCGAAGTTCTTATTGATCGTGTCCTAGTAATTATACTTGGTAACTAGTATCCTGGTATGGCTTGGTACTCAGACTTTATGTGCTTTTTTGCTCATCTCTCTAGTTCTGATCTTTTCCTCTTATCTCTGTATACTCGACGAGGCTAATTTTTTTGCTGCTCTGATAATCATGGAAAAGACAGGGCTAGCTAATATGAAAAGCTAGCTCTAAAAGAAGCTCGAGCCGGTGCACTTTATATGAATAATAAGGTCCAGCGCCTTGTTCCCAGAGTAAAGTGATCCTTAGAACATCAACTAGTGCTTTTGAGCCGAGAATATTTTTGCTCGTCACGCTGTTATTGTGAGATTCGCATGCCAACTAATCGGTTTTGATTACACGAAAATGGTGCTTCAACTGCAAGTGCTCAGTGATCACTAGTATAAACAAAGGCCTTACGTTAGGTGAGCGATGCGAAAAGTACCACTTTAGATGTCGCTTTCAAAACTGAAAAGTGTGGACGGAATTACTTCATTTAATTTTGCAATCTTAAGGCAGGCAGTCAATTTCACTAGTGGAAGCCAGATCTGATTATAATATGGTCAAGTGTTGAACCATTAGTGTACTATGGTACCTACTAAATTCACTTCTAAGCACGTATAGAGGAAAGTGATTGTGAGAGAACTTTGAATGCGCTTGAAGATAATAGATACAACGTAGAGGGGTTGTTTGAACGTATCAAATAAATGTAGCTGCTGAGAAGGTGGACGAACTATTGGTTAAGCTTGAAAGAAATCCATATGATTTGGTACATATAATTAAAAACCATCTTTCTGCTTTGAATATAAGATGAATTGATCAACTGTATAGCACGGCGTTATCTACTTTCTGAAAGCTCTCGTGATCAATTTATCTGTGAATTTTGTGTGTTCCGTTTCTGTTTGTTTTATCAAAAATTTATATAATACGGGTTGGATATGATAGAAATATTACATAACACCAATCAAGTTTTATGTCGGTTGACAGGAGAAGGAGAAGATGAAGAAGAAGAATATGCTTCTTTTTTTTTTTTTTTGCCAATGCATGCAGTGATCAATATCAAATTGAGCATGGATTGATTCTCGTCAACCATTATTGTCGGTAGCTAGTTATTTTTTTAAATAAATAATTCCTACAGTGATTTATCAACAACTATACTCGTACCTATATATTGATTTATCAACAATGACATTAGTTATATATATACGCACACATGACACATGCATATAGTGCATATATATTTGAAACTTTCTCGATCAGTTTTGGTTCCCACACTAACAACTGAATTGCACCAGCATATAAAGCAGTCCGTCCAATAAACGAGGTTAGTACTTTTGATGTGGCACATTCCGTTCATTGGCGGTTGGCTGATTTCATTTAAACAACCCTTGTTCTTAAGTACTTTTAAACTTATAAAGGTTTTTCATAAGCTCCCTTTGAAATTCTCGTAATTTGACCTTTACGTTGTTGCGATATTTGTTTTCTTGACAATTTAGCTCCTTGAATTCTTAATTAATTAATTATCAATTAAATCCATTCGTTACTACTGTAAGTAAAATTTTTTTAACGAATCATTATGGTCTTTTAATAGCTAATACCCGGCTTCTCATGGTTTGCTAAAATTTAGTTTTGCGACTAAATCCTTGAATTAGTCTCAAAATTCTCCAAAAATTTCGTTTGAATTTTGTTGCCACTATTTAGAAGCCAAATTTTCAAGTAAAAAATGGGACAAAAGTATATTAACTAAATCTCAAGAAATTAATATAAAAAAAAATATCAAGAAATTCATAGAACATGATATGTGTTAAAAAATCAGTAAATGTGTATATATATATATATATAATAACTTGAAATTTCAATTGTAAGTGTAATAATATATCTTTCCAGTTAAAAGAAAGAGTAACGATGTAAATTAATCTGGAATTAGCCATTATGCAGAAGCAAAAGTTATATATATAGGCCACTACATCCTTAGTCCACTCTTTTTTTTTTTTCCGGCTCAACTATCCTTGTTCCGCTCAATTTCCTCATAATATATTCAGTCCAACTCTATGCGCATATGATATAGATAGGTCTGTTAAATTAAATACAACAATAATTGGGGATTGGAGATCAACTGATTTTGTGTCATATATACATGATAAGACCCTATATTTATGTATAAACCATATAAAAGCAAAATAAAATATCCGAGATAGCAATATATAATATGACTGGATGAGAAACTACGGAAATGCTAATGAGGAAAAAGAGCCACATACATAATTGACATATATCATGTAGTGGTAACATATAAAATAAATAGCAGCAGCTGGTAAGTATATTATATCAAAGATTAGACGTTTATACTCTTATATTATTCGTGTCATTTCATGCACGCCCTTGTAGCTTGCAATGCAACTTTATTCTATAATGATGAAGAATATCCTCTAAAAGAAAAAAGAAAAAAAAGGGCGTCATTTACACTATAATTAATATCCTTTACAATATTGAAAACACTGACAAACTTACTTATATCTTGTGTATATTCTCCGCTTTAATTCATATGTTTCTATCAATCTAGCTCCTTCCTGATCGCAGGAATACAACTAGAGCTCCTGGCAAGTCCTCCAGTAGAACCTAATTTTCTTTGACCAATATTAGTACTTTTATAATCTCTAGGGCTTACAGACTTACCCCTAGCACTAATACCAGTATTACTACTCTTCTTCAGTATCTCTCTGATGGCATCAGCTTGGAACAAAACAGGATACGCCCTTCCAAGCTTATTGAACCTGGAACAAGCGCTCATGTGCTCCTTTAGCGCCTCGTCGCGCTTCGCTTTCTTCTTCTCCATCTCCTCGTCCACTGCCTCCGCGCACAGCCCGCAGATCAGCTTGCCAGAGAACTTGCTGCGGACGCGGTTCACGTAGTCGCTCGTGCACTCCTCCGACATGCCACAGCACTCGCATTTCACCTCATCGACCTCCACTATGGCTGGGAGATCTTGATTATCATGCTTTTGTTCTTGGTTGTCATGCTCCTCATCTTGGTGATCTAGGGCTTGCTTGGTTATGAGCTCAAGTGAGATGTCGGATATTGTTCTCTGAAGACTTTCCATGCAAAGCCTTGGTAAATGATTCTTGTGGGTAATCTTGTTTTCTTCTTCTCTTGATGAAGAGGAAGTAGAAGAAGAGCCAATCAGGTTTTCCCTATTTGGTGCCATTAGAGATTGATGGGGGAGCTTTGGGGAAAATATTTGGAGAGAATTGTTTTGGGTGATAAATTTTGGTGGTGAGGGTTAGACTATGAGTTATGGAGCCTATATCATCTACGTGCTAATTTATATTGTTCTCCTATTATGTTCTAGAAGATTTGGGGAAATGTATGTGGACGAGAACAATCTTCTTTTTTTTCCTTTTAGGAATCAATTAATTGTATAAAGAAAGGGATAATTAATACTAAATTTCCAAGCTTTTTCATGAAGATAATAGAAGTTTATAGTATTTTCTTTTGCCTTCTTTCTATTTTCATCACTCTTTTTTAACCTGCTTCTTCACGTCATATGCATGGTAGTTCATTTATATTCATGTGATCATTCCATGGACACACACACACACACACACACACATATATATATATATGTATATATATATACATATTAAAACTGTCTTGAGTACTTACTCAAGAAAAAATAAATAAATCAAACTTTTTTAATTAGTACAGTACTCTTTTTGGTAGCCTGGTAGGGTTCGAAGTAAGGACTCTATGAATGTTTGTCATAGTGAAGTATGTAAATACAAATCATTTTTCTTTTAAATATGAAAGAGAGGGCTCTAAAAGCATCAATTAAAATATAAACCAAATTATGAAGGTTAGTCACCTTAAAATAAAAAAATAAATAAATAAAACCTCCAAATTAACTTGTGTATACTGCACACCAGGATTCAAAAACGATTTGTCTCTTTTTCGAAGAAGAGTGCAATTAATCAATTAATTAAATTCTTACTTGGGTTTGTTCTAATTTCTTAATTTCTCCTGTCTTTTTTTTTTTTTTGGGAGGAACTTAGGTTTCTTTTCAGTTAGGAAAACAAAGTTCAATGTTTGGATTGATCGACACTTGTCTCAGATGGGGTATTTGTTCCTGAGACCTCCCAACTAAAACTTTTACATATCTTTATGCACCAAAAGAAAGGACATCTAAAGAACAATTATTATTAATGCTGAGAACTCCGAAGTAGGACTTCACGAGAAACTTAACTAACCATGTGATGAGAGAGAGTAAGTTGAAACTATAAAGACGATATATAAATGAGAAGATATTATGATCATCACAGGAATCACGGACGTGGAAGCAAAAGTAGTGATCTTATCTTGCGAAATTAAATACTGTGCAAGATTATATATAAAAGCAAAAACAAAAATAAATAGTTAATTGAAGAAAAAATAGCTTTTGATGTGGTAGATACGTTTAATGGGAAAGATATTACTCATGGCTTTCATAACTTTTTATGATAAAGTTTTTAAGCAAAAAAAGGCAAAATTAACTTTCTAGCATAAGTATTTATAACTGTTACACCACAGTCGAGGGATCGATCGACCCTCTGAGTGACAAGTGCTGAGGATTCCCTGATGAGGACCGGTTGCTGACGCCGAGAGAACCATTGTGTCCAGAGTGCCCTTTAGACGTCGAGAAGTCACGTGCGCTGATGCGCGTCGAGGGCCTAGCCTATGTGGTGAGGACCCGACGTCGAGACATTAGCCCAGTGAAATCCGCTGTTAGTCCTGGGAAAGATACACTGTATCACCTACCGCCACTGTTGGAATCAGGAAATCAGGCTTTGGGTAAATAGTGGTTAACCTAACCGGGAAGCAATAATCAGGGAAATCCAGCTGCCAAATCCCTAAATTAAGGGATAGAGGTTCATTTCCTCTGGAAGTGCAAGGGGTTTCTCATATATATAAGGCCTATAAATAGAGCCACAAAAGTTCATTACGTTTTTTAGACACACAAAAAATACTACTCCAGAGAGCTTGTAATCTACAACATATTAATGCATGCACAAGTGGATTAGGCAAAGAGATTTGGCCGAACCACTATAAACTCTTGTCTCATTTACTTATTCAGCACCATTAATTCCCGATTAATACGCGAGTGATTAGTGCGAGTGTTCTCGAAGAGTTAGTAATTTCTTGGTGATCAAAATCCACCATCAACAATTGGCGCTAGAATGAGGGCCTAAACCCAGAAATCGAATCCAGCAAAAAGCAGTGACTATGGCTCCTCCGAGAAAGACCCGCAGTATGACGGCAACCCAAAAAAGCCAACAAGGCCATACCTCAACCCAAGGAGGGAGGAATCCGGCAAACCTACCTAACGGTGGCCAGGAACCCGCTAGGGTACGGCCTAACCATAGGGCGCAGCCACAGGCCGCTGGAAACCCCCCAGACCGCCTTGACTAGCTCCAAAGGCAAGTAGAAACACTTGTTGTGGCCGTGGAAAGGATGGCCACAGCCCTCGCCGGACGGGAACAAAGGCCAGACTCGATGCCACCGCTAGAAGACGCGCCGATGAACCCGGTGAACGCCACCGTTGGGAACCAAGTAATTGGTAACTGACGTGGTGATGCCGAGGGGGTTGGTGATAGTGGGGCCAACAACCCCGCCCAGCCAGGTCGAATAGATCTGTGGGGAGCAGGCAACGAGCTGCCAAGAGAAGAGCCCAGGAGGGGGCCGCGGTCGAAGCAGAAAATAGCCAAGGGATACCCCCTCGACCGCAGGAGAACATGAGAAGGAGGGACGCGGACCCAATAGAATCCTCGTCCGTATGCGGGGAAGACCTGAGAGAACGACTGAACACTCGACGTGAGCGAGACGTGTAGCAGTCCAAGGAAGAAGAGCTTGTGGCCGAGAACAAAGCCCTGGCTGAGAAAATGGCTAAACTTGAAAAACAGATAGGGAATCGGTTGAACAACTTCGAACGAGTTGTGGGAAAGGTGGCCGAGGCTGTAAATGTTAACGCCAAGATGTATACGTCTCACGACCACCCATTCACAGAGAACATCATTCGGGTACCACTGCCCGATAAATACAAGCCACCGCCTATCCCATTGTACGACGGAAGAAGTGACCCAGATGACCACTTGGAAGTCTACACGGGGCACATGGTCCTACACGGGTACCCCGAGGAGGTCATGTGCTGCGCGTTCAAACATCATCTCTCTGACTCTGCCAGGAGATGGTTCAGGTCCTTAAAGCCGAACTTAATAACCAGCTGGGATGACTTGAAGAACGCCTTCCTGACTCAGTTCATAGGTGTCAAGAAGTACATCCCACCAAAACATAACCTCTCGAGAGTGTATCAGGGACCAAACGAGTCCCTAAAAGATTGGATAGCCCGGTTTGGGGAACAGGTGGCTGCCACCGAAAGGATCTCCGACGAGGTAGCCTTGATGGGGGCCTTGTCAAGCATAAAGAAGGACATCACATACAACACAGACCTCAACCGGAGGCCACCCCAAACCTACCAAGAATTCATGGCAAGGGCCCAGGGATTCATTAACGCAGAAGAGACCAAAAAGGCCTTAAAGAGCAAAGTGGTGGTTCCCACCAAAGAAGAGGTGGGACAGTCGAGCCAGCAAAGCAACAATAAGAAGCGCCAAGGTAATCCTCAGGTGCAAGTTGAGCTGAGGTACAACCCGGCCCCAAACAACAGGGACGTCAATGCCTCGACGGGGCAGGGGGACACCAAGCGGGCCAAGCCACAGAAGTATGACACCTACACCCTATTAACCATAGGGATTGAGGACGTCTATCATGAGATCAATCACCTCCAGGTACTGCGTTGTCCGCCGCCGCTAAAGTCCGACCCAGCGCGGAGAAACCAAAATAAGTATTGCAGGTTTCACGGCGATAGTGGACACATGACCAGCGAGTGTTTCGACCTAAAGGATGAGGTCGAGAGGTTGATACCTAAGGGATGGGGCAACAGTAATCAGAGGAACAACGATCGACGGGAGGATCAAAGGCAATTCCAGCCCCCCGAGCCCGTCGGCGTGATAAGGATGATCTTTGGAGGGCCCTACCTCGGCGGCGCCTCTCGCCGTGCACAGAAGGAATATGCGAGAGAAGCGAAGGAAAAATTCAACCGGAGGATTATGAGTGTGTCCGGTAAGGAGTCAAAGGCCGCGAAGTTTGAAGAGGCTGAGATAACATTTTCATAAGCGGATGCAAACGGGGTGCATTTCCCCCCAAAGCAACGCTCTGGTGGTGGAAGCCATGATTGGCAACCATACGGTCTGCCGCATCCTGGTGGACAATGGCAGCTCGGTGGACATCTTGTACGCCGATTGCCTCGACAAGATGGGAATCCCTCAGACGAGACTGCAGAATAGCCCGCAACCACTGTATGGCTTCACAGGTGAGGGAATGATAGAATTGCCAATGACAATTGGCGACCGACCACACACCTCGACTGTTATGTCACAGTTCTTGGTGGTGAAGGGAGGCGACCAATATAACGCAGTCATAGGGCGACCGACGCTGAGGGCGTTGAAAGCAGTCACGTTGATCTATCACCAAACAATGAAGTTCCCGACCCCCAGTGGAGTCGGAAGGGTGAGAGGGAACCAATACGAGTCGAGGCTTCCGTATTCGAAGACAGTCTGCCACTACGCCGAGCCAGGGCAGACCAGAAGAGAAATGAGGATAGTGGCGACCAGAGCCGAGGAGGTCGACCTAGACCCTCGACTCTCAGATGGAGAAATGGGGACGGGGCCAGTCGAGGAATTAGTGAGGTCCCCATCGACGAAAATGAGCCTACAAGGAAATTGAGGATAGGCTTAGAACTTGAAGAGCATAGCCGGGAAAAACTAGTAGCATTCCTCAGGGGCAACCTTGACGTGTTTGCCTGGACCCACGAAGACATGGAGGGGATCATCCCGGACATAATGAGCCACAGGCTCAATATAGATTAAAAGTATCCCCCTAAGAGGCAAAAGTGTCGACCGATGAATGCCGAGAGGTATGCAGCTCTACGGGAAGAGATCGACAAGCTAATAAAGAAAGACTTCATCCGAGAAGTCCTATACCCCGATTGGGTATCAAGCCCTGCGTTGGTGTTGAAGCCCAACGGGAACTGGCGGACTCGCGTCGACTTCAGTGATTTAAACAAAGTTTGCCCGAAGGATAACTTTCCACTCTCGAGGATAGATCAGCTGGTCGACGCTACAGCTGGGCATGAACTCCTCAGTTTCATGGACGCCTATTCCGGCTACAACCAAATACCGATGTTCCACCGCGATGAGGAACACACATCTTTCATCACTGACAGGGGCCTGTATTGCTACAAGGTCATGCCCTTCAGCTTGAAAAATACGGGAGCAACATATCAGCGCCTGGTCAATAAGATGTTTGCGGACCAGATAGGTAAAACCATAGAGGTATACGTGGATGACATGCTGGTGAAGAGCAGGAGATCTAATGGTCATGTGGAAGACCTAAGGGGAATGTTCGACATACTGCAAAAGTACAGGATGAAGTTGAACCCCTTTAAGTGTGCGTTCAGGGTTAAGTCAGGAAAATTCTTAGGCATTATGGTGAGCAGTCGAGGAATAGAAGCTAATCTGGAAAAGGTGAAGGCGCTCCTCGACATGAAATCGCCACGAAAACTGAAGGAAGTCCAGAAGCTAACGGGTTCCATTGCTGCACTCAACAAATTCATTTCCAAATCTACATATACGTGCATACCGTTCTTCGACACCCTGAGAGGGAGCAAGCCGTTTCAATGGACATAGGAGTGCGAACACGCGTTCCAACAATTGAAGGAACACCTTGGGAAGCCGCCTCTATTGTCCAAGCCTATGGACGGGGAGGTGCTGAGCCTGAATCTGGCGGTCTCTGAACACGCCATTAGTTCGGTGTTGGTCCGCGAAGAGGAGAGGGTGCAGCTGCATGTGTATTACACTAGCAAGCGCCTCCTCGACGCCGAGACGAGATATCTGCAGATGGAGAAGCTCGCCCTCGCGTTAGTGATTACGTCGAGGAAGCTGCGCCACTACTTGGAAGCCCACGGTATTCAGGTCTTGACGAACCACCTTCTCAGGCAGGTATTGCAAAAGCCCAACGCGTCTAGGAGACTTCTTAAGTGGTCCATAGAGCTCAGCCAATTCGACATCGACTACAAGTCACGGGTGGCCATTAAGGGCCAAGCCTTAGCCGACTTCGTCGCCGAGTTCACAAGACTGCCAGATGAAGCGGAGGCAGTGGATGGGCCCCCTGCTGGAAGCTCTATGTTAACGGGAGCTCTAATGACAACGGCAGCGGTGCAGGGTTAGTGCTGCACACCCCAGAGGGCCATAAGATAACCTCGGTCGTTAAATTCGAGTTCCCCGCATCCAACAATGAAGCAGAGTACGAGGCGTTGCTGGCAGGGCTCAGGTTGGCAGAGCACCTAAAAGCGGGGGCCATAGACACCTTTAGCGATTCACAATTAGTCGTGAACCAGGTGAAAAGCCAGTATCATACCCGGGATAAGAAGACGGATGCCTATCTCAAAAAGGTAAAAAAGGCCTTGGAGAAGCTCTCGACCTACGACATACAGCAGGTGCCGAGGGCAGAGAATAGCAACGTCAACGCCCTTGCTAGGTTGGCCACCTCGAAGGATGCCGAGTTGCTTAGGCTAGTACCCGTGGAAGTTTTGAAAGCTCCCTACACCGAGGGAAAGCCTGAAGTCCTCTCATTGAGCCACCAGCCGAGCTGGAAGGACTGAATCATCAAGTATTTGCTCGACGGTGAGCTCCTGGAGGACAAGCAACAGGCAAAAAGGTTGAGGTACCAAGCGTCGAGATACACCATGCATGATGATTTCCTTTACCACAAGGGGTTCTCGACGCCCTTGCTCCGGTGTCTTGATGATGAAGAGGCGAAGAATGTGCTCTCAGAGGTACACGACAGGATATGTGGAAACCACGCAGGTGGACAATCCCTGGCCTATAAGGTGCTAAGGCAGAGGTATTACTGGCCCAACCTCAAGAAGGACGTGGCCGAGTATGCAAAGAAATGTGAAGGCTACCAAAGGTACGCCCCCATCCCTCAGCAACATTCAGAGGACCTAACGTCAATAGTCTCCCCTTGGCCATTTGTAAAATTAGGGATTGATCTCATCGGCCCATTGCATAAGACCCCAGGGGGATACAAGTACGCAATTGTAGTGGTCGACTACTTCACAAAGTGGGTTGAAGCCGAGCCTTTAACGACGATATCGAAGGAGAAGTGCACAAACTTTATATGGAACAACATAGTCTGCTGGTTTGGTGTACTGCACTCTCTCATATCAGATAACAGGAAGTAGTTCAACAATGACAACACCAACCAGTTCTGCGAATTGTTAGGTATCCATAAGAACTTCTCCTCGGTTGTATATCCCCAGTCCAACGGACAAGTCCAGGCGGTCAATAAGATTATCAAAGTCACGCTGAAGCGTCGACTCGATAACTACAAGGGCAAGTGGGCAGATGAGCTACCAAAGGTCTTGTGGGCCTACAGGACGACCAAAGGGGAAACACCGTTCTCAATGGCTTACGGGGTGGAAGCGGTCCTCCCAGTCGAGATATCCATCCCCACCAACCGTGTGATACAGTATGAAGAAAATAAGAACGCCGAGCGAATGGGCTTAGAGCTCAACCTTCTAGAAGAAAGGTGTACGGCCACACAACTAAGGGTCACCTCGTACCAAGCCAGGTAAAAGTGGCTGGCGTCGATCCATGCGTCATCGAACGCCTTCAGAGCTACCAGGGGTTTTACCTTTGACGGGTTGACATCCGTCGCCATCCCCGTGACGCCACTGGTCGACGCCAACCCATAACTGTGTCCCCCAACAGGGCCAACCCTTAGGCTATCATCCTCGACGTCGAGGAAGATTAGCTCGTCCAGACGAGAAGTCGAGACCGACCCCTCATTGTACTCCTCCACCTGACGAAGCAGGGAGTCCCCGTTGTCATCTGAGGACGTGTTTGATGTTACGGCCTCCTCAGGGTCTTCCCTAACCCTGGAAGTAGAGTCCTCTCGACCTCTAACGGGTTTGGGCGGCATGATCTGAAAACAAGCACAGAATGGGTTGAGGTGAGTACCTAGTGGTCGATAGGCCAAAAACAGAATCTGAAAAGAAAAGGCTCATGACAAAATGATCCCAGAGCCAGGAATTTCGACACTAGGCTCACACAGCCCAGAAATGGGTTTTCAACCCATGAACGAGGAAAAAACTCACCAGGGTCCCTGGGGACCCAGAAGTGAATGTGAGAACCCCGACGTGGTCGACTGAACCCAAGTCGGTGCTACCACGGTAGGATTCAACCCAGATTAATACAGCATTGTTTAGGTAAGTTCATTTTACAGTTATGTGGACCTTTAAAATGTTAGTTTTTGCAGGAACCGAGTTCGAAATCGCACTGAGAAGTAAAAGAGAGCCAAGGGACTTACTAATTCTTAAATGATAGTCTGAAAGCCTTGAGATTAAGAGGAGGATTCATGAACAACTGATGCACACAGAGGTTGAAGTCAGAGGCGACGGTTCCTGGTGAAAATCCGGCAGAGTAACGGTGTTTTGAAGAATGAGCAACTATAGAACTGCGTTAAGGGGCATATATATATATATACCCGGGGAAAGAAGCCAGGGGGTCTGAGAAGTCCTAATGACGCCAGATCTCGACCGTCGAATCTGAACTGACCTCATCCAACGGTGAACCCAAACTGACGTGATCCAACGGCTGGGATAAGAGCGGGAGAAATAAATATGATCGGACGGTTGCAACTTTCCCCTCGACCGCCATGTGTCGCTAGGGTATGGGGACATTACCGTTGACATGATCGACGAGACTGTTCCACTGCCCGAGGTACTCGCTATAATGATGGGACAGTACCTACGAGCGGCCGCCGTAGTCTGCAGGAGGGAATCTTCCACGTGGATCTCTCGACGCTACATAGCCTGGAATATCACAACGCGACATCCAAGGCTAGGGGTAATTGTTACACCACAGTCGAGGGATCGACCGACCCTCTGAGTGACAAGCGTCGAGGACTCCCCGTTGAGGACCGGTTGCTGACACCGAGGGAACCAGTGTGTCCAGAATGCCCTTTAGACATTGAGAAGTCACATGCGCTGATGCACGTCGAGGGCCCAGCCCATGTGGTGAGGACCCGACGTCGAGACATTAGCCCGGTCAAA